GGCTCCAGACACTCAGGCCCAGGCCCCGTGCATGAGATTTTCCAAAGCTCTACTCCCTCCGTTTTACATAATATAAGACGTTATTATGGAAAAGAGGGAGTACTATATAGATATTTATATGAGAGCAACTAATTAAGGGGGAATGAAATTTGAAACAGGCATACTTGACGATGACGATATGAATCACTTGAAAAGTACCCATTGGAGGCCTCCCGCAAAATTTACTGCTTGGCCTTGGAGTATGCCAAATGATGCATCCATCCGCCGCGACGTGTCGCATGCTAGAGCACCCTTGATATTTCATGTTTTTTCTGCACGTGTTTTTCTTTCTTCTTTTCAATTTTGCTTGGGCTTTCCTACATTTTGGCAGGTTTGTGGGGAAGTAGTACTTTTATAAGAAGCATAGTCGTGCTTTCTAAAAAGGAAAAAACACAGCTTGTACTTCCACGACAAGCACAATAATGCTTCATAAAAAGGGAAAAACATGGTGGTGCTTACGTGAGAAACACAGCATGTGCTTTCACGAGAAGAAAAATCACAGTTTTTGCTTTCACGAAAGCACAAACTGCATTTCCCGAAAAGGAAAAAGCACATTGCACTTTTGGGTTCTATTTTTTTCTAGCTTCAATTTATTTTTGCTTTTGGTTTTTGTTTTATTCTGTTTTATTTTTTATTTCAGTTTTTTTCTATTTTCTCCTTAAAAAAGCATGTCGAAACCTATTAATATGGTATCTAGTTTTGAAGATCTTGACACAAAAAATCCAACAATGAAAACAGTTCGTGATGATGCACGGTCAAAGAGATAAAACGTTTTAAAAAAAATGAATCTAAGAAAAATGGAAAACTCTCATCTTGTGACAAGTGGCATATATGCAATGTGCCACTTGTCAGCACCAAAAAAGTGAGAATAACTTTTTTTAGCTAAAGTGAGAGTGACTTCTGCAAGGGATACCCCTTAGTTAGTGATTTTGGTTTTTTATATAACCCTAAAAACACATAGGATTTTATATGGGCTCAAGATTCATACTCCTGCGGTCCTTCCTGATGAGAGCCCCTAGTTGACGCTCGAGCGTCAAACACCCGCTGTAGCGAGCCGTGTTGTGCGACTACTAAAATGTCCCCAAAAGAATTTGCGCTCTGTCGAGGAATCAAACTCGCAACCGCACATTGGAGAGCAGGTGTTCCATACCACTTGAGCTGGTGAGTGTGTGTGATTAATAGGCAGCGCGAACTAATAAGAACAAATGCAGTGGCTGATCCAAAAGAAAATAAAAAATATTCGACCATTTCTTGGAAAACTGTGAACAAGTTTAAAAAAATGTGAATAATATTTGAGATCATGAAAAAATTTCAAAAATCGTTTTTTAATATGATCAATTTTTGAAAAGTGGACAAAAATTCAAAAATGTGAACAAACACAATTTTTGAAAATGTGAACAAACTTCAAATTCTGGACAATGCTCTTGAACTGTGAAAATTTTAGAAAATATGAATTTAAAATACACACTGAACATTTTCTTTGTATACGGTGAACATTATTCAAATACATATTGAACATTTTTTAAAATATACGGTGATTTTTTGTTTCGAATGCATGTCGAACAATTTTTCTATATACAATGAACATTTCTTATACACAGTGAACATTTTTCAATGTACGGTGAACTTTATTTTGACAAACGTGACCAATTTATGAAAACGTGAACAAATTTGGAAAATGTGACCAATTTCTGAAAACATGAACAAGTTTGGTGTTTCGATCATTTTCTGAAAATTTAAACAAATTTGGAATACTACATTTTTTCGAATTTAGGAAGAAAGTAAAAAAAATATAAGGAGAAAAGGCAGAAAAAAGAAAAAGAAAACAAAATAATCCATTTTCGGCGAATAGGATCTGCCAACTACGACCGCACGACCTAACTGATGAGCTCCTGCAGTCCGCCGCCGCCCCGCGCGCTCCCGACCCCCCGCCGTCCTGCGCGCTCCGGCCGCCGTGCTGCTGCCGCCTGCTGGCTACCGCCACCGCGGTGCTGTCCGCCCTGGGCTGAGGTCTCTACACAGTCCCGGATTCCACCGCCGGCCGCCGGGCCCTGCCTCCGCTGCGCCCAGCCGCCCACAAATCCGCGTCGCCGTCCTACTCCCGGGCCGTCGCGCTGCACTCGGTAATTTTATCGTTTTTTTTTCTGCCAATAGCGTCACAGTGTGTATGCACCTAATGGAACTGTGTACTGTGTGTATGTGTAATGTGTTGATGGAACTCAATTTGATGCTTTTTGTAGAAAAAATATAAAGAAGTAGAAAAGTGAGTTGAGGAATATGGGTGATGATGGCATGAATTATATCATTGTGTGCTATATCGAGCCAGATGTCATTTTGTCATGTTTTTCTACAGAGCTTACTCTTCAGAAGAGATGGGAGATAGAGAAAGGCGAATGGTGTTTGTCACAGTAGGGACGACATGTTTTGATGCTCTTGTCAAAGTGGTAGATTCCGAGGAAGTCAAACAAGCACTACTGCAGAAAGGTTACACAGACCTTAGGATTCAAATGGGCCGAGGAACATACACGCCATCCAAGGTAATATCTGTCTCCTTATGTTATCAAAATTGCAAACCCATAGTGTTCTTAGTAGGAAAGAAGGGGAAGTCAAATAATGTTTTGCAATCTCGTCAGGTTTACTACTTCAAGGAGTAATGGATTTTTAATGGCGCTTATCAATCCTGAAATGGACATAGTATCTGATCAACTGAGATCTATAGCTGCTGATTTGACATCTAGGTGGTAGATTGTTCATTGCCTGTGGAAAGAAATTGCATGAAGATGTTTCTGTGACAAATTGTGACATCCTTATAGGTGCTGATACTTTTAATGCTATAATCTACTTCTTTTGATGCATATACCATACTATCGCATGAAAAAAATGTCAAACTTGCAAAATATAGGATAAAGTCAAACAGGATAGGTGGCAAAAAAAGGAACATATGCAGCGTCAGGGTAAAAAATTTGATTGTCCGCACTTCAGGCAGGTTCACACTGTTTTACATTTTTTGTGTGCTAACTATGATATCTGAAGTCTGGCGAACTGGTGCCTTCTATATAAAGTATTATAGGCCGAAATCCAGAATTTGGTTACAGTTAGGCTTTTATGCATTATAAGGTGGAAATGAACCGGACAATGATCTGATGGAAAAATGGGGAACTAACTCGCTTATATGTTAATTGATTCTTGTGGATATACACTTCATTTCCATATTGCACCACTTTGTTATGTCCAAGATAGAGCATATAATTTGGTTTCTAAATAAGAGCTGCACCTTATATACTTAAAATAATTGACAGACCAGAAGGCCTACTTAAGTCCTAGTTCTTACGTACTATCTAGTATCTTCTGCTTCACTGTACCATGATCAACGATTGTGGTTTGTGTTTAACGATTAATAGCATGGATTTAGCCTTTGCTTCTTGAATATAGGCCTCGGGGAATTCAAATCTTCAAGTTGAGCATTTCACCTTTTTACCAAGCATAGCTGACAACATACGAGAAGCATCCTTAGTCATCAGTCATGCAGGTGATGATCAAATCTGAATAATAGATTTATTTTCTTGAGAGAACTATAATGGAACAGTACTTGAAGCAGATTTTTTTTATGGTGAATCCTTTGGCCTATGTATGTTGGTTGTTGTAACAATATTTGCCCTAAGCAAACCTCTTCCACACTGATATTGTCACAATACTTAAACCTGTAGAAATTTATGCTACAGATTTTGATTCTCCTGTCATTGTTTATGGATTTGTAATTTTAACTTCAAATAACTTTTTGGCAATAAGGAAATAAGTACTACAGACTCTAGCATTTCGAAATATGTCCATTACTAGGTGGTCAGTTCCTGTGAATTTTGTAGCAGGTGGACAAAGGTACCTGCTGAATTGGCGTAGTCGTTACTGATCATGGAATCAGGACTTTGTTGTTGTTGCACCTGTATGTAGCCCGTTCGACTTTGTTGTTGTTGCACCTGTATGTAGCCCATTCGACTTTGTTGTTGGAGAACTTGCTATATTTTAGAGTAAGAGGGTTATGGAAAATAATATGCTGTCGGTGTTGCATTTTAGCGACATCAATGGTTGGAAAAGGCATTCCAAACTGTTGTTTGTTTAACTTATTGCTGACAGGTTCTGGCAGCATATTTGAGACGCTGCGATTGGGCAAGCCTCTTATCGTCGTTGTGAATGAAGATCTGATGGACAATCACCAAAGCGAGCTAGCAGAGGAACTGGCCGAGAGGAATCACCTTTTGTGTGCCCATCCACAAACGCTGCGAGAGACTGTCGAGGCGATGGATCTGAATGCGCTCCAGCCTTACGTGCCAGGAGAGGCGAAGCCAGTTGTGGCACTGATCAACCAATTTCTTGGTTTCCCCGTCGATTGATAGTACACGTTTTCTCTTCATGTAGATGAAGTTTAACAAAACACTGAAATGAAGTTATTACAGATCCAAAGTGCAGAGTTTAGATACTTCACCCTGTTTGGAACTGAAAGACTTTTTTTTTGTTGTTGTTGGTCTAACTCACTGTCGTTAGCATTGTGGGGCTAAATTTTCACCACTTGTCATGTATGAATAGGCCCAGTGTGCCTATTTGATTTATCCCGAACTATAGTAACGGCGTAAAGGATTGGCCCGGTAATAATACAAATAAGGAGAGAACCACGAAATTATAATGGCTAATTTACACTTGATCCTAAAAAAAGAGAGGCTAATTTACACTTGAGAGGGTTTTGTAAAATATTGCCTATGTGGCATCAGCCATCGCCCCATACAGACATACCAAACCTAGGATGTGGATGTACATTCTCTTTTCATAGTTAACACACACGGTGTAGGTTTATGACCTCCAATGCATTCTACTCTTACTCGTGCACAGAGAACAAGTGGGCATCCCTGGCGAATTGCACATGCGCGATACATCTAGACCAGTCAGTTAACCTTCTAGTACCCCGCAGCTCACCGACCGCCATGCAGCGAGCCGACGGACATGGTGCCACCGGAGGAGGACCAGGTCATGGACGAGAGCACGGACGACCCAGGGGTCACGGACGAGTCGGGATCCGAGAACACGAGCACGGCGTCCTCCGGCAGCACCTCCTCGCCGTCGAGAAACTGGCAGACCTGCCTCATGCTGGGCCTGGCCTCAGGCCGGCCCTGGCTGCACACCATGCCGAGCCACAGCACCAGCTTCGCCTCCCCGGCGTCGTAGCACCCGTCCAGCCTCGGATCCACGGCGCGCAGCAGGTTGCCGTCCAGCCCGCAGTCCCGGACCCACCGCACCAGGACCACGTCCGCCGCCTCGCCCGGCTCGACGGGCCGGCGGCCGCACGCGACCTCGAGCAGCAGCGCGCCGAAGGAGAAGACGTCGGTGGCCGTGGTGGCGCGGCTGGTCACGGTGAGCTCCGGGGCCATGTACCCCAGGGTGCCGGGCACGCGCGTGGTGCCCGGGGCCGCGCCGTGCTCGTAGAGGCGCGCCAGGCCGAAGTCGCCGAGCCTCGCGGCCATGTCGGCGCCGAGCAGCACGTTGTTGGCCTTCACGTCGCGGTGCACCACCACGTGCTCCCACTCCTCGTGCAGGTACAGCAGGCCGCGCGCCACGCCCCGGATGGCGTTGAGCCGCTGCGCCCACGCGAGCACCTTGTTGCCCCCGCCGAACAGGTGCGCGTCGAGGCTGCTGTTGGGCATGAAGTCGTAGACGAGGAGCAGGTCCTGGCCGTGCTTGCACCACCCGCGCAGCTCCACCAGGTTGCGGTGCCGCATCCGCCCCAGGCTCGAGACCTCCGCCACGAACTCCCTCATCCCTTGCTTGGTGCCGCTGGAGATCCGCTTGATGGCCACCTCCTCGCCGGACCCGGACCCGGACCCGGACCCGGAGCCGGACCGACGGCGTCCGAGCACGCCTTTGTACACGTGGCCGAAACCGCCCGAGCCGAGAAGCCCGCTCTCCTTGAACCCCTTGGTCGCCTTGTAGAGCTCGACGTATGGAATCCTCTGGGGGTGTTCGAGCTCCCACTCCTCCAGCTTGTCGGCGAGCGCCGCCCTACGCCGGAGCCAGAGCGCAGTAACCATCGCTGCGGCAACCAAGGTGAGCGTTCCCGCACAAGCCACCGCGGCGAATTTGATGATGAGGACCTTGGGAGCCGGCGGAGATCAATGGGCTGGGCGAGCCCATTGGTCCGGAAACTCCATGCCAGGATGTAGTGCGAGCTCGCGAGCTTCCCGGTCGCCGAAGAGAAGCCGACGTACATGTTCTCCTTGAAGACCGACCGGAGATCAAGCTTTGTCGATATGAGCGGCCGGTGCGGCCGCTCAGCCACGGACGACACTGGGGCGACGGTCACGTTGAGCAGGCTGGTACCGCCGTCGTAGTCTATCCAGGCCTGGATCTGCTGCGCGCTCTCCAGCTTCACCGGCATCTTCCTGTCCTCCCCGTCGGCGCCGGTGGCGTAGTACGCGGCCTGCTCGGACACGTTGGACACGAGGCTGTTGACGTCGACGCCGACGTGGTTGCCGTTGGTCTCATTCATCTCCAGGTCGGTCACCGTGTCGAACTCGACGGCGAAGACGTGGTTGGAGGCCTTGCCATTGGTGGTCGGCCCGAGTACGCCGAGGTAGATCTCGGGCGACGCACCGGGGAGCACCCTGGACGGGGCCACCACGAAGGCGAGGCCGTAGCCGCCGCCGATCCCGATGGTCACGATGTCGAAGACGAAGGCCGTGCTGAAGGAGGAGACCGCGAGGTCTCCCTGGTTGTCGAGCGTGCCCAGGGCCACGGGGGAGCCATAGAAGGCGTGGCCGACGAGGCGCTCGCTGCCGTTGGTGAGCTGGAGCGCGCCGCCGCGCAGCACCGACGCCGACCCGTCCAGGCTCAGGTTGGGCGCGTGCTGGAAGCCCTGGTAGATGAAGTCGACGTCGGAGCGGCAGCAGACGGCGACGAGGAGCAGGACAACGGAGAGGCACAGAGCAGCGCCGGATGCCGCCATTCTCTTTTCTCACTGGAACTTCTGGTGTGGTGTGGTGTGGTTTGGTTTAGTTCTTCTACATAGCAGTATATGTTATGTATATGCAGAATGTGTTGGGTTTCATCTTTGATTGGTTGGTCGCCATCGCTGCTTTTTGAATTGGCAAGAGCATCTCCAACAGCCGCGCTATATAAGTGCCGCGCTGAAAAATTAGTGTCTTTTACGTGCGCCACCGCTCCGGACGCTCCAACGAAGGCGTAAAAATCGCGCCTGGTTCAGCGTGACGGCCGAAACGCCATCACACGTCGTTTATTTGATGTGTCTGCCCGCGCGCTGGACACTCGAGCGCTCGCTCGCAACTCCACCTACCTCATTCAGCCGCCGCCGTCCGCGCCACCCCATTTCTTCCGACGACCGTTCCGGCGCTTTCCCGGCCTATCCCCGTGCCGCGCCGGCTTCCTCCGTCTCCCTCTAGTCACCGCCGCCCCTCGCGCGCGGTAGTCCTCCGACGAACAGCGCCCGGCCGCCCACTGCCGCTCGGCGCCCGCAAGGTGTTCGACAAAACGCCCGTAAATATGTATTGCTTCAACTTCACATTTTTTACATGAATTTAGTGCATGTTGTTTGTAGTTTTTATAGTCTAGTTTAAATTAAACATTGTAGATGAGTTCGTCATATGATTCTTTCGAGGAAGAATTTAATATGGAAAAGAAGGATCTTGCAATGATCCTAGCTATGCACATCAATAAAAAACCGAAGCACGGTGGTTCGGTTATGGGTCGGCAGAAAATTTGGAGGGATAGGATCGATGCCCACAGCGGATTGATGAGGCACTATTTTGTGGAGAATCCCACATACCCTGAGTCGTACTTTCGTCGCCGGTTTAGAATGAGCACCGAGTTGTTCAGGCGCATTACAGAGAAACTAGCGAGCCATGACCGGGTTTTTCAGCAAAGGAGGAATGCCGCCGGAGAGCTCGGGCATAGCAGCTTTCAGAAGGTGACAGCCGCTTTGCGTATGTTGGCATACGGTATCCCCGCTGATCTAGTTGATGATCACTTGGCCATGGGTGAGAGTCAAGCCATTATGTGGGTCAAGCGCTTCGCAGTCGGAATTGTGCAAGTGTTTGGCCAGGAGTATTTGAGATCTCCCAATGCTGAAGACACCGCAAGGCTATTGGAGATGAACAAAGCTCGCGGTTTCCCAGGTATGCTTGGCTCAATTGATTGCATGCATTGGAGTTGGAAGAATTGTCCTAAGGCATGGCATGGGCAATTCCACGGTCATAAAAAAAGTTTCACTATATTCCTTGAAGCGGTGGTCGATTAAGAGACTTGGATTTGACATGCTTTTTTTGGAATGCCTGGATCTTTGAATGACATCAACATTGTCAATCGGTCACCACTGATGAATAAGATTGCAAATGGTGAACTGCCTCTGGTGCAGTTTGTAGCAAATGGCCGTACATACAACTATTACTACTATCTTGTGTATGGCATCTATCCAAAGTGACAAACATTTGTGAAGTCGTTGAAAAATCGGAAGGTAAGAAAAATCTTGATTTCCACAATGCTCAGGCGGCGGCTAAAGAAGATGTGGACAGAGCTTTTGGGATTTTGCAACCCCAATTTGCTATTGTGAGAGGACCAGCTAGATTTTGAGATAAAAAATGCTTTAATACATCATACACGCTTAAGTGATCATGCATAACATGATCATCGAGAATGACCATGACCAAGATGTAGACTACTCTCACTATAAGCTCTTGGGACATCCCGTGCGAGTGCGGCGGAGGGCTGAAAGGGTGGCCCGATTTGTTGCCTCCTATCATGCCATTCGATGTCATGAAGGAATTGTGGGCTTGGAATGGCCAACAAAGAGCATGATTTGTGTGTTTGATATTGTATTGTTGAACTATTTGTTGTATTGAGAGATAAACTATTTGTTTGAGTTGTATAACGAAATTGAACTATTTATTGTTGATTTATTTTGTTTGTGTTTGATCTTCTTGCTTTCGTTTGGAGCACATATATTGTTTGTGCAAGCGCGCGCTGCATTTTAACGCACCTGCTGAAGCTACCCGCGTGCATTAAAGTTACAACGGTCGCTGGAGGCCTGCAGCCAGCGCTCCTCGCCACGCCAAAACAGGCGATCGACACATTAAAAATGTATTTTTAACGCGCCGCGTGTTGAGCGGCTGTTAGAAATGTTCTAAAAGGACAAACCTTGGGGCTTGACTTGAGCATCGACTTGCGCTCTCTTTTGCTAGAGTGAGTGACAAGAGAAGAGGAAGAAAGGTCCTGCCTGAACTGTCATGGTTGCTTACGCGCAATGCTTGACAGACAAAGAACGGGAAGGGAGGTCATAACCTACCTGCCATTGGCTGGCTGGTTGCTTACGCACAAGGCACAATGCTTGATTGACTGATCACAACATCACTGCCCTGTGCGTGTGCCGTTCCAAGTCGGAAACGCGAAGTCCGTTAATGATTTTGACACGAGTGAATGAAAATGAAGAGCGCGAATGATGAAACTGAGCAAAAGATTCCAACCCATCCCACTAACAGTAGCAGTTAGCAACAGATTCCGTCCAAGTCGTCGTCAGTCAATTAATTGGTACGCTAAGTCCTAAGACTTTTTTTAATCCCAACTTATAAGTCACAAATCTCTAAAAAGTCCCTACCTATTTGATTTCTGGGACTTATAAGTCTCTATAAGACCATATTACAACTATAAGTCCCTATAAGTCCCTCCTTGAAAGTGTTATTTCATAAGTCCCAAATGCCCACTTTAAGTCCCTATAAGTCCCTCCTGTTTGGGACTTTTAGGAACTTATTTAAGTCTCTAAACCAATAAATCCCTGAAAACAAACACCCTCTAAGACACAACCGACGACGCCAGTCAGGAGTTGGGACTCGCAAGTCGCGATCGACCTACGTCCTCCTGCTCCAAAACGAAAGAAACTTCTACTTACTGTACATTTGATACTACCTCCGTCCTAATTTATTAATTTCCCTCATATTTAGGGCCATATTTTGATCATAATTTTAACTACTATAAAATACTGCATAAATTATACATAGCGAAAATAATATCATATGGAAGTATATTCAAATACGAATCGAATGATATAATTTTTTGTGACGTGCATCAACATTTTATTAGTTAAATCTATGATCAAAATTTAGCACAAAAACGAAGGGGATCAATAAATCAGGACGGAGACAGTATTGTTGGGTGCAGAAATCTCCATTGGTGCTGTGAATGAAGGTCCTAGAATACGTTATTGCCTACGCGCTTTGGTCAAGGATGATTGATTATCTGCTCGGCACAGGCCACGTTCCCACCGCATGCCCGCAATGCGAGTATTGTGGGACAACTGTTATACTGATGTTTAAATTTCTAGTATCATTGGATGCCAGAAATCGACTCCATCTTTCAACTGAGATGCAAATCGCCATTTATTGAGATTACTCAAGAGGTTGGGAAACTAATCGGCAAGTTTTGAATCAATCCAAGTCTACGAGAAATCGTCCCCATGCACTCATTTTCAATTTTGTTGCTAGTGATCACAATTAGCATACTTCTACAAGGAAAGTTCCTGTAAAAAAAAAATTAGAAACCTCACCAAGCAACATTTTTTGCCAATATAACTGAAAGCTCACTAGGAAAAAAAATCATAGAAGGCTCAACCCCTTTTAGATTTCAAACGCAGAACTACGCTAACAAAGCACTACTCGAAAGATATAAGCACGTGTGTGACTACATATTTGAACTTTATAAACCCTTGTAGACGAGG